GCAATTTTTCAATAATTGCAGTCACTCGGAAGGTTTCACTTGAAATCATCCCTTCGACATGAATCTCGTGAAGAATCACCTGGAGTTCTTGACCGATTACTATTTTGGAGTCCACCATCTTATAATCCAAGAATCAGCCAACAATGAATTTCTTGGCCCCGATGTCCTCAATCTTATATTTTCGATCCGATGACTCCCATAACTCTTTAGCAGTTTTCAAGGTACTATACAAGTTTTATAACGAGTCTTCTAAACTATTCATAATGTAGTTTCTACATAGAAAATTCGAATGTTTCCAAACAGCAATCCCACTGATCGTTTGAACATCTCCATCACCCTTATTGAGTTTTAGAGCATTTTCAGTCAAGAATCTCATAACATTCAAGGTGGTTAAGTAAAATAACATTTTCTACTGCCACCTCTTGAAATTCGAGCCATTGAATTTCTTCAATTTTCTCCATGGCTAAACGAAACAATAACGGTATGGCCAGTTATTGAAGCCACAACAAGACTTAGCAATTTAGCCACGGTCTGAGCTACAAAAGAGTTGGGCACTTAAGCCACAGATGATCCCACTGGCTGATTTCTAGCAACAGTTTGGGGCACATCCATGTTGGTTGATTCGATTGCCATTTCCGAAAGACAAACAAAAATTAGTTTCTAAATTCAACAATATAAGAAACCAATTTTTTTCTTTTTTTTGAATCTGTTTTAAGTTTGTTAGACTAAATGTTAGTGAACAAGTACCGGATGGAAATATAAGATTTATTCATATCGTATATGCAACAAACCGAATATACAACTTACCGTATTTACAGCTTACCGTATATGCAATTTAGATACTGAATTTGTACATACCGATTTTTGCATATAGCATATATGCAGTGAACTTAGATACTACCCAAAATATAAACGATTAAATTACAATAAACTGAACAAATTAATCTACTTAGCCAAAATACAATAGATTAAATTCCAATAAAACAGAACAAGTAAACTAATTAACGAAAAGCAAGAAATTTTAACTGAGGCCTATGTGAACATAATTTTCTTAAAACAGATTCGTCTCCTTACCATAGGTGTTTTAGGTTTGATTCGGACGTCTGTCTCCCAGGATACAACAGATGAACAATAGAATTTGAGCACCTCAAATACTACTATGTCGAACAGAATTTGTACCTGAACAATATCACCAACTGTATGACTATGCAATATGCAGATCGAAATATGTAGAAATCGTGTTCTATAAATCATGCAGAAAACTGTATGATGTATTTGTTTTTCTCTTATTTTTCTTCTTATGTGGAATAGTAGAAATCGAGTTGAATATATATAGCCTCAATACCATGAATGCCATTAACTCATATATAATGGCAATGAAAATTGGAGTTTCGACGGTTTTGAAATTAAAACGGTCAATTGGAGGAAAAAAATTAGCAAAACGTAGGCTCTTCTAAAGGGCCAATTTCCACATCCGAAGTTTATTTCAGTTCGAATTTCTCTCTGCGCGCACACATAGAGAGAGCCTCTATGCTACACATATCACACCATTCCAAAGTGTAATCCTATTTAAGATGGTGTTTGTTTTTGTAATTTTCCTTTATGGGACAACCTTAAATGGTTTCCTTCTAACAACATAAACTCCTTTTAATTTGCATACTTTGAGCTCCAATTTTTCATTCACCCAACATCATTTTTAGCAAGTTAATACATGATTTTGATGTTCTCACGGAGAAGAACACAAATCAATCTTAAACTACCAAAATATCCAACCGGATCCCACTCAATTTTTGTGCCAAAGTTAGCCACTCAATCCATTTTTCTAGCATTTGCATTGTGTATGGACATTTGCACAGATATCTTGTCATTATGTATTTCACTCTAGGTATAAACTATTAAGGGAGGTTGAGGGGTGGTGATTGAGAGTTGTTTTTTAGCAAGTTAATACATGATTTTGATGTTCTCACGGAGAAGAACACAAATCAATCTTAAACTACCAAAATATCCAACCGGATCCCACTCAATTTTTGTGCCAAAGTTAGCCACTCAATCCATTTTTCTAGCATTTGCATTGTGTATGGACATTTGCACAGATATCTTGTCATTATGTATTTCACTCTAGGTATAAACTATTAAGGGAGGTTGAGGGGTGGTGATTGAGAGTTGTAGATTCAAACTATTCCCTCCAACCTTTTTATAGAAGGTTGGGGATGGTTTCAACCTTCTCTATCAAAAACTTATTTGGTTGAGCCATTGTAATATAACCAATAAATCAAATATTTGGCATGTTTGCAAGTTGGACCACGTTGTGCGATAGAGGTCCACAAGAGCTTATTTTGAAATTCAACACCTGTTAGACAACCATTTTTACAAAAGAATGAATTTTTAAATAATAAATTTTTGGAGAATGTAATATTAAAAAAAGTAGAAAATTTTTTGGATTTACGTGAAAAATATTTTATTATAAAAATATGTGGTTAAAAATTAGTAGGAAAATTTTTTTTTTTGAAAGAATGATTGTCAAATTGGAGCTAAGAAATGTCAACTTAAAGTCAAAATTATGTTCGATTACTTATGAAAGATCAATATAAAGAGACATTTGTTAATTCATTATGCTTAGGTTTCTATAGGTCAGTGTCCTTACGTTCGGTTCTCAAGTGGCCAATCACTTATTCCATCTGCAATTTGCATCTAATGCAAAAACAATAATAAGAAAATCATCTCATTGCTTGACCACACTTAGTGTCTGTTTGGTTCGGATTAAAATTTAATTTTTATCTAAATCAAAGTTAAACAATCAATATAATCACATCTTTCATAGGTCCCACAACTTTTCAACCACACACAAAAATTCTATCACAATCTACTAAAACATCTAATTTTAATTTCTACCAATCATCCTCTTAAACTGTTCTGAAATACAAAATCTTGTACTGAGATTGGTTTATTCTTTGATTTTGTTATTCGTCCAGGACCACATGCGCTGTTTGGAGTTCAGACTAACAAAACAAAGCAATGACAAAAGTGCGTTTGCATCACAAGTTGATAGCAAATCATTACACTTGGGACATTCACAAATGATCATTATCCTCAAAAAGTAAGGACACATCTCCTTGCATATGCGTTAATGACAAACCTATTGTCTCTTGAAAGTGGATTGGTTGGCCCATCGATTTCATCGGATTGTGCGCGACGATGCTAGCAATATTTAGAGAGAGGACATAGAGAGAAGAAAGGAGATAGAGAGAAAATTTAATTAATATTAAAAAGTGAATGATGACCTAATATTTGAATAAATAAATTTTAGACCCGATTTTTTAAATTAAAAGTTAAAATTCATGCGTGAGTATAATTTCCACTTAATAATAAGTTGGTCCACCATTATCTTCCGTATGCTTCTCCTTGTACCCCTAAAGATTTTGATGTGAATTTTTTTCACGCCTTACTGTTGAAATATTGGGACTTCATTAAGTATTCGATTTTGTCCTGTATTAAAAAAAGTAATGATATTTACAATCGTCCTATGTAGCATACATGTGACGATTAGTAATTGATTCATTAATATAGTATTTTTTATTGCCTTATGCGTCAATCACTAATCGTCACATGTATGGCACGTAAGACGACTGCAGTAGTGAGCAACTGCAAATAGAATTATTCGTATTAAAAATCCTCGATAGGGTGGTGACAAGGAGTGGGACCCCTGCAATTTCTACCTTGGCAAACCAAGAATTAGGATCAAATTTAAACCACATGAAAAGCCTGCAATCACCAATATACTAAACAAACCAATTAAAATGCAAGAAACTCTAAAATTGAAAGAGGCAATTGCAGTAAAATTACCCCCCGACGGCACTACAAAACTGAAAGAATGAGGACCACATTGTTAAAAAATTAAATTAGGAACCAAGTGGCAATAAAAGCCACACAAGTAGGGGATCAATAGTGCAATTTTCCTCTTTAAATTATGTGGAAAGTAGTGATAATTATTAATTAGCGATTATTATTTCTAGTCCGAGCAAAGGAAACAAAACCCAAAAAATAAATAAATAAATAATGCCAATAATGCATTCTCTTGTATGCTCACTATAATGATTGATTATGATATACAGCGAATTATTTTCTGATGATTAGTGTTAAACTATGTGTCATAGGGGTGCATATTTTAATTGGAATCGAGCCTTTCAAATCGTAATTGGAGGCTTTAATCCAGTTTGTAGGACCCAAAAAATAAACAAATAAAAAAACCTTGAAATCGAAATCAAAATCGAGAATTAACAGGTGCATGTTAGTTTTTAATTCTTGAACTAAAACTGTAGATACCCAACTTTGAAATCGAATTTGTCCTTTTTATAATTTATTTATTACACAGATCCAATGTTCAACCAATTAAGTTTGCAAAGCTTAGGTAGTAAATAACGTGATCAATGAGATTCATTCATTTAAATAATGAATCACATCAATTTCAATTGTAGTGGTTCCTAATCGCACTTCGGGTACCTCACACGGTGCTAGAGTTGGAATCGAATGCTATTATACAAGATATTAGAGCTATTTGGTAACATATTTGCAGTAGATTAAGAAAGAGTAAAATTATATATTTGGTGACATGTCTTATTTTTTCTGTTTCTACCACGTATTTGAAAGAAATATATATTGTTAGCTGATGATTTCTTATAAAAAAAAATGTTTTGAGTAGAACTGAATCAAACTGACTTTCAAGTTTGGTTTTAGTTTCCGTAAGTAAGTTAAAATCGAATTATTTATTGGAAGGGTAATGGATGGCATTTTCAAATATATCACTTTGACGCCTATGCCTACTGTGTAATAGATTCTTGTGGGGCTAAAATTGGCTTACTTTATAACCGTTAATTTCTTATTAAATTCTGCCATTATTGGTTACTGGGTCTGGGGATTCCTTTTTTTTTAATAAAATTTTAGGTCGCTGTCGTCCAAAATTTTGTGATGCATTCTGCTACATTTTCAGGTTTCATTTGTTCGTGCCGGGGTGGGGCGTGGGGGGGTGTTTGTTTATTTATGTTGAAATTCAGAGATGAACGACGAATACTTTTCTAACAGCTGATCACTGGGACTTCCTTCTTGTTCTTTTTTTCAAAAGAATTTAGGTCACTTTCTGCTAGTATTTTCAGGATTCGTGATTTTTTGGCGTGTGGGTTCGTTTATTTATGTTGAAATTCAGAGATGAACAACGAATACTTATCTAACAGCTGGTAATGAATACTATTCAATGAATTGATCTTCACCAGTAGCGAATACTTTTCAAACAACTGGTATTGGGTACTTTTTAATGAATTGATTCTCACCAATAGCAGGAACTTTTGGGAGGTAAATTTTCAATCTTTTTTTTTATTTTTTTATTTTTTTCAGTTTCTTACTTATTTTGGATACTTTTGCAGTCGTCTCCATATTTTTATGAGCAAGGTGGTTGTTGTTTCGTCTTTGTTTATGACTTATGTCATCAATTCTCATCAGGGTTCATAATGTATTTCATATGTTTGATTTCTGATTTATCTTTCCCTTCTTATATGATCAAAATTGCATGCAGAACTTTTCTTTAATTTTGGTAGTGGAATTGACTCTTAATTTATATTTATTTCAAGCGCAGATGGAGTTCAGGAGTTTATTATAGAACTTGATAGATGAAATAGAATTAGTTGATGTAAAATCATTTATGGGATCAGATATGCAGTTATTATGATATCAATTCCCTTTATAACTATGTGGTGTTAGATTAATTGAGCTGGAAATCTGATCAAATTGGAGCCCATAAAAATATTTAGAGATACCCTGCTTCTTCAAATTACAAGGAAGCTGGTGTTTTTGTTTCTTTTCTACTGATCAATCAATTTGCTTCACTACTGTAACGAGTTATAACAGAAAAATATTCTTAATTTCACCTCTGTCTCATGTCGTATTTAGATTTGAATTTGATATATATTTGTTAAATTATCTTAGTAATTATATTTGTGACCTATTAATATCAAGCATTGGTTTGAATACAAGGCTGATAAGTTGGGTACAGTTGAAATGAATGTATGCATGTTCCAGACTTCCAGCTGATCAATATCTGATACAGACAATCAACTAAATTGTTTGTTGAGCTTAATCTTTGTTTGAATTTTTGTTTAGCTAATATTGGTTCCTTAGTAAGGTCTTTGACATTACTTTTTTTCCTAAATTCTGATGTCAAATCATAGTCTTGTATTCTTTTTGCTTGGAGCTTGGATTTTGCAATAACATGCCTTGGCAATTTGATCATGAAACTTATCTTGATCTTAAGATTTGGTACACTACTTGCAAGACTGATGTACTATGGTTTCTTTGTAGTTGATTCTGAAGATGGGTAATCAGATCCATGGATACACACTGGATCAAATACTTTCTACAATGGGATTCGGGACTTTCCAGGGTCTTGTCCTGTTTTTTGCTGGGGCTGGTTGGCTTTCAGAAGCGATGGAAATGATGCTTCTCTCCTTCATAGGACCAGCAGTTAAATCTGAGTGGACACTTTCTCCCACTGAAGAGAGCCTTCTAACAACTGCTGTTTTTGGTGGAATGCTTATCGGTGCATATTTCTGGGGCTTCATATCGGATGCCTATGGGAGAAGGTAGTCATTTTTTCGTTCATCTTTTTTATCTCACGAGGTGAAATATATTTACACCATATCCTAATTTCAAGATTGAAACTTTAGTACAACCTTTTTTGATCCAGCTGGAGGGGGAGACCCAATATTATACCAACATCTCTTTCGGTTCTTCTGTCATCCAGAGTTGAAAAATGTGTAATTGGAAGTTTGAAGTGGTCGAATAAAAAAATCTTAAGTACAATCTTCTTAGACAAGCACTAAATCAGGTTTCTTGGTTCTGAAATCTGTTGCCAAGTTTCGTGCCAATGTCACGAGGGACAGGGTGTCCTGTGCTGATGATTCCTTACATTTCCTCCTTGTTCTCCTTCGTGGGTTTCTGCAAGACAGAAAGCAGTCGGGGAAAGATCACTGGAGAGAGGATGGTCGTTTTTTCCACTCTAACGGTCAAGTCAGTATTTGGCATTTTTAGGAGTATAACTGCTTTGGAGAAAAGCCTGAAAGGGATCTTTTAATTTATATTAGATAGTTTCACTTGTAGCTATTGTTGTCTTCAAGTGGGTGGCCTTGGTATTTATCAAGAGGATACTCTATAACGATTGGCCCTCGAGTAGTGGTCTTAATGGGGGATATGTATCTTGAAACAATTGGCTGAGGAATCTTGTCAGACAATGGAGGGACATGGTACCACCTTTGGAACTTGCACCTGAGTCACTGTTTAAGGGGGGACTTGTTCCGAGTGTAATGTTTTGTTTCTTAAGAGTATTGTTTAACATTGTAGGTGAGGTAGACTGGCCGACTAACCATAGGTGAGTATTTATCTAGCTTAGATCTTGCCAACTGAGTTGGTGACCTCTTGTTGGATGAGCCTGTGAGTTCTGATCCTGGTATTTGGTCTTTTGAGACCAGAAGTCTAGTATTTACTGGACAAGGGTGTTGTTCATGAGACCTGGGCTTTATGATGATGCCTTCATAGTGTCATGAGTTTTTCCATTGGGTAGTTTCAGTGCGATAGGCAGGTGAATTTCGTGTTTTATCAGTGTGGACCTCTTAGCAGGTTATATAATTTGAGCACGACTTGAGGCTCTTTTCTTTTGGTGCAACAAGATCAAATCAAACCGAAAGAACTTACAGAAATTAACTAATGATTTCACAAATAATGTACATATAATTCTTTTGAATATTATTAACCTCTTCAAGACATTTTTAGTTTTGCTTTTCCTATGTTAATGTTACAGAGAGGTTTCCTCCTAAGACTGTATACTTTATGTGCACCCTTTTTCCTGCTGTTTTTGGTGGAATGCTTATCGGTGCATATTTCTGGGGCTTCATATCGGATGCCTATGGGAGAAGGTAGTCATTTTTTCTTTCATCTTTTTTATCTCACGAGGTGAAATATATTTACACCATATCCTAATTTCAAGATTGAAACTTTAGTACAACCTTTCTTGATCCAGCTGGAGGTGGAGACCCAATATTATACCAACATCTCTTTCGGCTCTTCTGTCATCCAGAGTTGAAAAATGTGTAATTGGAAATTTGAAGTGGTCGAATAAAAAAATCTTAAGTACAATCTTCTTATACAAGCACTAAATCAGATCTCTTGATTCTGAAATCTGTTGCCAAGTTTCATGCCAATGTCACGAGGGACAGGGTGTCCTGTGCTGATGATTCCTTACATTTCCTCCTTGTTCTCCTTCGTGGGTTTCTGCAAGACAGAAAGCAGTCGGGGAAAGATTACTGGAGAGAGGATGGTCGTTTTTTCCACTCTAACGGTCAAGTCAGTATTTGGTATTTTTAGGAGTATAACTGCTTTGGAGGAAAGCCTGAAAGGAATCTTTTAATTTATATTAGATAGCTTCACTTGTAGCTATTGTTGTCTTCAAGTGGGTGGCCTTGGTATTTATCAAGAGGATACTCTATAACAATTGGCCCTCGAGTAGTGGTCTTAATGGGGGATATGTATCTTGAAGCAATTGGCTGAGGAATCTTGTCAGACAATGGAGGGACATGGTACCACCTTTGGAACTTGCACCTGAGTCACTGTTTAAGGGGGGACTTGTTCCGAGTGTGATGTTTTGTTTCTTAAGAGTGTTGTTTAAACATTGTAGATGAGGTAGACTGGCTGACTAACTATAGGTGAGTATTTATCTAGCTTAGATCTTGCCGACTGAGTTGGTGACCTCTTGTTGGATGAGCCTGTGAGTTCTGATCCTGGTATTTGGTCTTTTGAGACCAGAAGACTAGTATTTACTGGACAAGGGTGTTGTTCGTGATACCTGGCCTTTGTGATGATGCCTTCATGTTGTCATGAGTTTTTCCATTGGGTAGTTTCAGTGCGCTAGGCAGGTGAATTTTGTCTTTTATCAGTGTGGACCTCTTAGCAGGTTATATAATTTGAGCACGACTTGAGGCTCTTTTCTTTTGGTGCAACAAGATCAAATCAAACCGAAAGAACTTACAGAAATTAACTAATGATTTCACAAATAGAATACATTGGACGCATATAATTCTTTTGAATATTATTAACCTCTTCAAGATATTTTTAGTTTTGCTTTTCCTGTGTTAATGTTACAGAGAGGTTTCCTCCTAAGACTGTATACTTTATGTGCACCCTTTTTTCTTGTTAATTTCCGTTTAGATTCTTGAATATATGTACTTCAAAACCTACACGAAAATGTGAGTCATTGTTTAGTAATAGATTAACAGTTTTTATCAACTAATTATGTATTCGTTTTGTCCCCCCCCCACCCCCCACACGTGTCATGGTATCATTGGCCTTAAAAAGATAGTTTCTTTCATCTCACAGGATTGCAATGCAAGGTGCGGACCTAGTAACAGCAGCAGCTGGACTGTTAAGTGCTTCATCCTCTGATTACAAGTCACTGATTATATATCGTAGTTTACTAGGATTTGGTGTCGGTGGTGGACATGTTTTTACATCGTGGTTTCTGGAGTTCATCCCAGCTTCTAGTAGAGGTGCTTGGATGATTGGTATTTCAACTTTCTGGACCATTGGAACATTAATGGGAGCTTCACTTGCATGGGTATGTCTATTACAATTGAAGTTTGAATACTTGTCATATATTATAACACCTATGAAATCTCAAAATGATGGTTCTGATTTTGCGGGTGAATGTACCACGAGGCATAGCTTCACATACCATGTACTATAAGCAGATCCGCATTGTATGTCAAAATGATTAAGTTTCGACGATTTAAGGTCCAACATTGATCTCTTTGCTGTCAGAACAAATAAAAATATATATAGAAGTCTGCTGCAAGTCTAACTGTCAGAACCACTCTGTTCTTCCTGTTTTCTGGTACTCTATTTAGCTTCAATGATAGGGTAAAAAATTTGGAAGTCACTGAACTTATGCCATGATTTCAATTGGTCAGTGAATTTCAATTCATCACGGTTGGTCACAAAGTATAAGTTTGCTTCAGTCAAGTTACTCCATCCAAGTCTTGTTAGGTTCTCTAAGGGAAATACTAGCATGGCAGCTGTTGATTTGTGTTCACCGCATTTTATTAGTCATGTCAACATCTGTGGCAATTTTTCGCTAGGCAAGCTAACGGAGTTTGACGAAATGTATTGGTTGAAGCAAAAGTATAGGTGAAAAAATGAAGTTCAACGATCCACTTGAAATTGGAAAATAAGTTCCTTCATTTCAAGGACTTTTTCCCTCAATGATAAAATTTAAGATGACTTTCACCGGAGGAAATTTTTTGCTTTCATTCTGAATTCAGATGATTATCTTCTATCTATTTTCTTTTCTTTAGAGTATTTATGCTCAATAGACGCATAAATAGGATAATAAAAATCTGTCCTACTTCGTGCAGATTGTCATGCCTGGCTTGGGTTGGAGGTGGCTACTTGCTTTGTCTTCTATACCAGCTTTCTTGGTTCTTCTCTTTTCTATTTTTGCGCCAGAATCTCCGAGATACCTATATATGAAAGGCAGAACAAATGAAGCACTTGGAATTTTGGAAAAAATAGCTTTAATCAACCGAACAGAACTTCCTACTGGAATTCTTCTCTCTGATCAAAACACGGATCTAGATGAAGAAAATGCTTCATCAGATGAAACTACTCTTCTTTCCTCAACTGGGAAAAAGAAAAGTTATTCTGAAACATTCTTCAAATCTGTTCTCGAACTCTTTTCAAAAAATTTATTGGGGACTACTCTTCTCTTGTGGCTTACGCATTTTGGATATACATTTGCATACTATGGACTTGTATTGTTGATCACTGAGTTTAACAGTGCGCAAAGAGAATGTGGCTCAACGACTATCCAGTCCAAAAAAGTCCAGGATGCTAGCCTCTATATTGACGCATTTATTAATAGTTCAGCAGGTACTATTACCAAATAACGTCATCTAAATGCTTAAGGTGTTAGAGGAAAGATGGACAAATTTGTTTAATTTAAGATTTCAACGGCCCTCATCACCTCCATGCCAGATCATTTTTCCCATTCAAAACCTAGCATATGCACAATCAGGAACCTCTGCTTGCTTTGATACTATTGTCAAACCACCTCATCTAAAAGTTTAAACTAACAGAGATGGAACAAACTTATTCGTTTGAATTACTTCTTTAACATTCATTCTAGTCGTTCCCCATTAAATGCATTCATTTTAAGAATCTGCACAAAAAAGTGAAACAAGCCAAGACAAATAGCAATAGAAACTTTTATCTAATTTGGTATAAAAACTAGCTGCTAAATTTATTATTCAATTTCTTGCAGAACTTCCTGGGCTTGTTGTAGGAGCAGTTCTTGTGGATCGGTTAGGTCGCAAGCTTACAATGGAAATTCTCACCGTGCTAACTTTCATCCTTATGCTACCACTTATTTCGCATCAAAACCAGTTAGTGACTACAGCTTTGTTATTTGGTGCTCGCATGTTCATTTCCACAGCATTTACAATCTTAGTTGTCTATGCAAAGGAGGTACGTTAGATTAATATGAACAGTTTAGTATTTTTTTTCACTCGTTTAACCTTTTTCATTTTGTATTTTATTTGATGCTACTTTTGAAGAATGTTGTAAATTGCTAGATAGATGTAAAGATTGGTGTATTTTCACTGAGCAATAAAATTTGCCCTTTTAGATGACTATGCTGAAAACAAACCATTCAAGAGAAATGTTCATGCTGCTAGAAATGGAGTGAGACAAGGAGAAACCTGATTTTTCCCCCCCAAGGAAATCTCTCTGGAACGATGTCATTTACTAATTTTCCAAAGATGAAACTACCCGTATATGTTAGCCCTTCGGAACACTTCCTGAAAACATTTCTAGTTATTAGATTGTGAAGGACTCTAATCGTGTGTCAACCCAAATTTAAAATCTTCATAAGGAGAAGAAAAACTTGACAACAGGATTCCTGTAAAATCCCTTCGTCTCAATCAACTAACTGTTTCATCATATCTTTAAACCAAGAATTTGTTCATTTTGGTATACATTTTAATTTATACGTAATGTGTTACAAGTAACTTGCAAGCTTCAAATTATGGATTGAAATCATCTATGGTTATAAATGATCACTCTTGTTAATAATTATCACGTGTACCAAAATTAATTTGGTAGCATGTGAAATATTTCAATATACATATGCATCATAATGAGGTTGCTTTTTTTCTCTACTTTTCATCGACATGCATATTAATTCTAATTCACGTTTGTATGTGTAATTTGAACATATTAATTCACTTTTTTTAGTATGTGTAATTTGAACACATATTAATTCACTTTTTTTTATTCATATATGATCATTTTTTCCACATATTATTCAGTATTAATTCTGTCTTTTGAATCTATTACATATTAGTTCTATTTTTAATTTCTATATATGTGAAATTTATATACATGTTGGTAAAAAACTTAGCCAATAAGTGATTTAACCAATTTTGCTACTTCCATGTATGGAGATTCTTTTTCCTAATACATGTTTAGTAATCAATTTTAAAATATAAATTCATATATTATCTATTTGGTAATTAATTTTTACATCATATCCTGTTTGTATTGTAATTAAATATTTTTTTCACGTGCATGCTTGGAAGATTTTTTTCTTATACACCTTTTTTTTTTTTTTTGGAATTTTTTTCAAAGTTTTTTTATTTTTTAAATTTAAATTTTTTTTTTTTTTTTTTTTTTTTAAGGGAAGTGTAGGAATTCACAGCATTACCTTGACAAGAATTTCGGATAAAAAAAACTTACTTGAAATGATGAATTCCAAGATCTTTTTGTGTGGTTGAATCACCTTGCATTCCAAGTTTCAAAATCTACATTTTCTTTTTCTCCAATGGTTATATCCCGATCACAATGGAAGGGGATTATTTTCTACAATCTAAGTGCCATTTGTTGTGAGATTTCATGTCAAAAATATGGTGCTAAAGACTTTCCAATTTTGGTGTCAATTTCCATTCGAAAAATCACTTTTTTCATGCCACATTTTTTGTTTTTTTGCTTTTCTCCATAACTTCTATATGGAGGTTGTAAGGAGTTATTTTGGGAGTTGTAGATTTGAATTCCATATTCAAACTACTCCCTCCAACCTTTTTAAAATCTTGAGGGTCGGGTCACCCCACATGGACAACCCATCACCTGTGTTTTTCAACATCTCTCACTCACGCGAACATGATAGGGTTGATCCAAACTACAAGTGACAACGAATGTCATACCTTAGATCATTCTCAATTTCTATTTCACAAAAATTCATATGGCAAATAGATCGTGCGATCAAGGAGTAATATTAGAGCTCACAATACTATAAACGTGTTAAGAATGCATAGTCCCCGTTTGATACACATTAATGTAAAAATGAGAATGAAAAATATAGTCGTTACGGGCCTCATACAAGAAATAGAAAGTCAAATATGATGGCTTGATGTGATGGATAACGATCATATTTTTCATTTTAAGGGGCAAATAATGGGAAAATTTGAAGAATGTTGTAAATTGCTAGATAGATGTAAAGATTGGTGTATTTTCACTGAGCAATAAAATTTGCCCTTTTAGATGACTATGCTGAAAACAAACCATTCAAGAGAAATGTTCATGCTGCTAGAAATGGAGTGAGACAAGGAGAAACCTGATTTTTTTCCCCCAAGGAAATCTCTCTGGAACGATGTCATTTACTAATTTTCCAAAGATGAAACTACCCGTATATGTTAGCCCTTCGGAACACTTCCTGAAAACATTTCTAGTTATTAGATTGTGAAGGACTCTAATCGTGTGTCAACCCAAATTTAAAATCTTCATAAGGAGAAGAAAAACTTGACAACAGGATTCCTGTAAAATCCCTTCGTCTCAATCAACTAACTGTTTCATCATATCTTTAAACCAAGAATTTGTTCATTTTGGTATACATTTTAATTTATACGTAATGTGTTACAAGTAACTTGCAAGCTTCAAATTATGGATTGAAATCATCTATGGTTATAAATGATCACTCTTGTTCTCCTGCTCACAGTGGGAAGTCTTCCCTTGCCACATCAGCAAGTGGGCAGGAGAACAATTTCTTATGAATGATTTATCATTGATTGGATTTTTTTACCTTGAAATAAATAATAGGTATATCCAACTTCTGTAAGGGGCACTGGTGGAGGACTTGCAACTTCCATGGGAAGAATTGGTGGGATGGTATGCCCTCTGGTAGCAGTAGCACTCACTAGCGGCTGCCATCAAACAGTTGCGATTATTCTGTTTGAAATCGTAGTACTTGTTTCCGGAATTTCCATCCTGCTCTTCCCATTCGAAACCATGGGAAGAGACTTATCAGACATGTAAATACGGAATAGAAATAAAGTGCTTTAGAGGCGATGAGAAGACGTAATCACAGGAATAAACGTTCTTCCCTGTCTTTATTTCGTGCTGAATTTTCTTATCTGTGAACTACCTGTATAATATTATATTATTAAATGTAAATAAATGAAAATTCTCTTCAGAATGTTCTCAGTTTAATATTGAAATTTCAAAGATATATTGTTGCTGAATTGCTTGCATTCTTCGCTTCAAATCTGCAATTTGTTGTACTTCAATGGCAGAAAACTCCATGGAACCTGTTTCTAGAAGATTGTTGTGATGTCTCGGAATTTTCTACAAGGATTTTTAATTTCTGAAACTCAAGATTTTTTTTATTTTTATTTTTTAAGGGAAGTGTAGGAATTCACAGCATACTTTGACAAGAATTTCGGATAAAAAAAACTTACTTAAAATGATGAATTCCAAGACCTTTTTGTGTGGTTGAAGCACCTTGCATTCCAAGTTTCAAAATCTACATTTTCTTGTTCTCCAATGGTTACATCCCGATCACAATGGAAGGGGATTATTTTCTACAATTTAAGTGTCATTTGTTGTGAGATTTCATGTCAAAAATATGGTGCTAAAGACTTTCCAATTTTGATGTCAATTTCCATTCGAAAATTCACTTTTTTCATGCCACATTTTTTTGTTTTTTTGCTTTTCTCCATAACTTCTATATGGAGGTTGTAAGGAGTTATTTTGGGAGTTGTAGATTTGAATTCCATATTCAAACTACTCCCTCCAACCTTTTTAAAATCTTGAGGGTCGGGTCACTCCACATGGACAACCCATCACCTGTGTTTTTCAACATCTCTCACTCACGCGAACATGATGGGGTTGATCCAAACTACAAGTGACAACGAATGTCATACCTTAGATCATTCTCAATTTCTATTTTACAAAAATTCATATGACAAATAGATCGTGCGATCAAGGAGTAATATTAGAGCTCACAATACTATAAACGTGTTAAGAATGCATAGTCCCCGTTTGGTACACATTAATGTAAAAATGAGAATGAAAAATATAGTCGTTACGGGTCTCATACAAGAAATAGAAAGTCAAATATGATGGCTTGATATGATGGATAACGATCATATTTTTCATTTTAAGGGGCAAATAATGGGAAACAAATGGGAGAATAGTAGCTCTGTTAGAAGAACATCACATCTCGCTATTTCCCAAACTCATTTTCCAACATTAATTCAAGTATTTCCGATCCCTCGAGTATTAATGGAACATACTTGAACTCCATATCATATCATTGTATTCACAATTATGTTCGATACTCTAAATGGTTAAACACAATTGTCCGTTGGTCAGAATAATTTTTCTTTCCTACTTGAATCCTTAACTTTTAAATCAACTGCTTTTCTACACATGCTCCATCAAATCGAATCAATCATAGTTATTGACAACATGTTAAAATAGAAACACTGAGCCCCCGTTTGAGCCCCATTATTTCTCATTACATTAAATTAAATTTTTCTCTCTTCTACTTTTAACCACACAATCTTCAATAAAATAATATTACACGTAAATCAAAAAAATTTCGACCACTCATTTTTCAAAAAAAATATTATTCATCTTATTATAATGCCAAATAATGGGGCTCAAACACACCGTGAAATAAAATCTCAAGAAATAGTCAAAAATCATAAGAGTATATAAATAAGGTTGTTGGCACCCGAACTCCGATTTTATAAGAAGTCATTTGTAGGACCCACCTCAGACAGATGCGAGTTCGATAATGGAATTAAGCTCTGCATATTACCGTCGTAATCTGAAGAGACATCGTAATTACCCCCTATCACATCACCTCTCAATCATTTACACTTGTAGGGAGTGATATCATTATCACCCAAAACCACCAATCCAAGGCCTCAAACCTTCAAATCATCTGCAGGTCATCATTACCTAAGAATAACATTAGCACATGGCCATCGGCCTCACCAACCAGTCACAGGAAAATTCCTCGACCTGACCTCCGAGATTGGTCCTGTTCTTGATTTGATTAATTTGATGTAATTTCAACTGTAGTCATGTACAAATAGTAGAGAAACAGTTTGTGAAAGTTAAATGGAGTTTCATACAAACACAACACACAATTAAGCCTTCTTGATATACAATTGAAGTCTTTTTCATAATAAAAGGAAAATTGCTCCTTTTTCTTAAAGTTAACTCGAGATTAATGTTTACAAATTCTGACGTCAACACTCATACAAGAAATAGAAAGTCAAATATGATGGCTTGATATGATGGATAACGATCATATTTTTCATTTTAAGGGGCAAATAATGGGAAACAAATGGGAGAATAGTAGCTCTGTTAGAAGAACATCACATCTCGCTATTTCCCAAACTCATTTTCCAACATTAATTCAAGTATTTCCGATCCCTCGAGTATTAATGGAACATACTTGAACTCCATATCATATCATTGTATTCACAATTATGTTCGATACTCTAAATGGTTAAACACAATTGTCCGCTGGTCAGAATAATTTTTCTTTCCTACTTGAATCCTTAACTTTTAAATCAACTGCTTTTCTACACATGCTCCATCAAATCGAATCAATCATAGTTATTGACAACATGTTAAAATAGAAACACTGAGCTCCCGTTTGAGCCCCATTATTTCTCATTACATTAAATTAAATTTTTCTCTCTCCTACTTTTAACCACACAATCTTCAATAAAATAATATTACACGTAAATCAAAAAAATTTCGACCACTCATTTTTCAAAAAAAATACTATTCATCTTATTATAATGCCAAATAATGAGGCTCAAACACACCGTGAAATAAAATCTCAAGAAATAGTCAAAAATCATAAGAGTATATAAATAAGGTTGTTGGCACCCGAACTCAGATTTTATAAGAAGTCATTTGTAGGACCCACCTCAGACAGATGCGAGTTCGATAATGGAATTAAGCTCTGCATATTACCGTCGTAATCTGAAGAGACATCGTAATTACCCCCTGTCACATCACCTCTCAATCATTTACACTTGTAGGGAGTGATATCATTATCACCCAAAACCACCAATCCAAGGCCTCAAACCTTCAAATCATCTGCAGGTCATCATTACCTAAGAATAACATTAGCACATGGCCATCGGCCTCACCAACCAGTCACAGGAAAATTCCTCGACCTGACCTCCGAGATTGGTCCTGTTCTTGATTTGATTAATTTGATGTAATTTCAACTGTAGTCATGTACAAATAGTAGAGAAACAGTTTGTGAAAGTTAAGTGGAGTTTCATACAAACACAACACACAATTAAGCCTTCTTGATATACAATTGAAGTCTTTTTCATAATAAAAGGAAAATTGCTCCTTTTTCTTAAAGTTAACTCGAGATTAATGTTTACAAATTCTGACGTCAACAAAGGTTATATAAATCTTAGGGTCTCACACAATGAGGAAACAGGAATACATTCACTCATTTACCCAATATTGGTCGTAAAAGCACACATGATATGAAACACGTGCTACTATGTTTTCTCCTTTTCTTCGGACATATGTCATATTCTTTGTAAACAAATAACACCGTACATATCCTAGTTCAGGTATTCCCCGATACCTAACTTGAATTCTCCTTATGTTCATTCCTCCTGGTAATCTCAAATTGAGAACTCGATCTAGCTACTAAACAGGATTAATGGATAGCAAAATTCATTTCAATTACTTGTTGTAATTTCATCTTGATATCTTATCATGGTGACTAAATCATGTACATAACATAATCACTGTGTCTCATCTCAACACACTAAACATCTTCAAAGTATAATGATTACATATAATTATTTATGTAGTTATATCGCAAAGACATTTTCTTTACTAATGTCTCTCACAGAAATACCATTAAATATGTAGTTTCATCTTGATAATTGAGATCTTAACATATAAGATAATTGCATTATTATCATAGATCTCATATTGTCAATCAGTATCATTAGATGCTCAATACATCTATACCAAACTATTTCTTTAACTGCCAAGATATAAATTACGATATATGTTTCTTGTTACTCTATATAGCAAGAGTGCACAAGTTTAGTAACTAATTGTGCTCAACTAACTCTTATTCTTAGTCGACAATTGTATATCTATTACAATCACAAATTATTCCTTTGGCAACAAAATAGAATAATTGACGTCAACACTCTTCAGGTATGACAATACATTTTCTAAAGATAAATATGAATACCTCCTGACTAGATCCATGGCATGACCAATGTTAGGGCAAGTATACATCATATATACTTTTATCTTTCAACTCTTGATCGTACTAGATATAGTTCCCCGGATTTTTATTTGTGCATTTATGGAATCTTTGGACATTTGTGAAGACTTATATGGTCACCTTCCAATATAGGAGCATCAACAGGGTAGAAATTCCAGATGAGCTTTTATAGTATAAAACTCTTGTGATAGAGCAAGAAGACTTGAATAATCTTTTTAACACAAATCATGTAATTTACTAAACTCATGTCCTTTGTCTCAAAAATCGAGGATAACCGTTTCAAAATGGTCTTTATACACTCCTTTTCATACTTAACCAATCCAATGTAATATCAAAGTTAGAAATACAACCTAACATCAAACATTTACACAAATATGGTAATTTTCGTCCGTATGACAAACTTTTTGTACGAAATTTAACCTATTAAAAACCCAAGTACGACTGTGTAGATGATTGTATTAGGCCATGCGTGTAACTATAAAGTTACAACAATACTAAAAAAAACTTTAACATGAAATTTATAAGACGATTCATGTTGATCTCTTTAATCATTTCTCAATTGAAAATAAAAATACAGTTTTTGGGTCTATTTGGTGTAATTCTAAATTTAAACATACTATCACGACTAGCATAAGCGTACATAAACGAATCTCATTGTTATGAAAAAAATTCTATCTAACCCAATCACTCATATTGAGTATAAAGTTTTTCACAAAAAAAATAAAATAAAATAAAATATATATGTATATATATACATATATGTGTGTGTGTGTGTGTGTGTGTGTGTGTGTGTGTGTGTGTGTGTGTGTGTGTATATATATATATGAGTTTTATCTATTAGAAACTCATTAGTCTTCCCCATAGTTTTCAAGAACCCGAATGTTCTCAGTAAACAT